ATGCATTTATAGACTAAGCTGCTATAACAAAAAGACCTCGAAATGCAATGGCTCAAACAAAATAAGTGCCTATTTTTCTCTCATGAAGTGCTCTGTAAGTAAGAGGGTAGGTTAGGGTGAAGAGGTGTCACTATATAATTAGGCCATTAAGAGACCCAGGTTTCTTCTCTCTTGTTATTCTCCACTTTTACGGGGAAAAGTTGTGGTCAAAACTGGCTAACCATTACACTCTGCATTCTAGCCCATGGAAAAGGGGCTGTAACATACAAAAAAGCCTTCCAGTTGACAAGTTTCATACATATTATTATTTCATAGGTTCTACAGGCCAGGAATCTGGGCCAACAAATATCAGCTTGGAAGAGATCTCTTCTCCATGTTCAGATGAGACCCTACCCTGGCCAACTGCTTAACTGCAATCTGTGAGAGACTCTGATCCAAAGAACCTAGTTAAGATGGGCACAGACCCCTGCCTGGCCCAAAGAAACTGTGAGATAATAGGTATATGTTGTTTCGATCTACTAAATTTGGGAGAATTTGTTATGTATCAAATAGATAATTAATATGACATTTCAACTTTATTTATCAGTAACTGACAAAATGAAAACTTAATTTTACATTGAAGGGAAATATAATTTAAAAGTATAAAGGTAACATATATTTTGACAATCTTTTAGACATAATACCATTAAAGAAATATTAAATATTAGGCTTTTATCTTATACCTAACTCCTATAATCTGCTCAACTAGTACATCCACACTGCTGGTAATGGCTTATTAGTCCTATACCTTTTCACCCTGTCTCTAGAATTCAGTTTTCTTCCAGAGGTAAATGTTACTAATGCTGTGAATACTCTGAGGAAAAGTATGAGTCATATCATATTGCAATAGAAAATGCTTTGATTTTAGGCTAGAGAGAATAAAAAATTTGAGGGTTGTCCTTCTAAAGGAATTGTTACCTGAAGGAAAAGGGTACCTGGTAGCAGAAATATCAAGAGTAACACTGACTAATTGTTTCTTTTAAATATTTTATTTATTTGTTTTTAGACAGAAGGAAGGAGGGAGAAAGAGAGGGAGAGAAACATTGATGTGCAAGAAAAACATCCATGAGTTGCCTCTAGCACGCTCCTGACTGGGGACCTGGCTTACAACCCAGGCATGTGCCCTAACTGGGAATCGGAATGGTGACCTTTCAGTTTGCAGGCCGGTGCTCAATCCACTGAGCCACACCAGCCGGGGCTGATTGTTTTTACATTTACTTAAATGCTAATAAATGCAATGCTATAGGCTAATGAAGTAAAATGCTTCAAATGGCTTGGGAGGTATAGAAATCTAGACCAAATGTGAAAGTAGCCTTGGGCACTAGGCCCCATGCCCAGGTCCCTTTGCTAGCCGGAACATAATTCATGTATTCACTTAATTAAGAAGCACTTATTGGGGTGCTGGATATAAAACATGGAATAAGTCAGGTATGGCCACTACCTCATGCAGCTTACAGTTCAGTGGGAAATATACACAAGATAAAAAGGCAATAGAATCTAATGTGGTGTTGCCATTTAGGATATGCAATAGACTGCTGTGGCAGCACAGAGGAAAAACACTGAAGTCAAGGTGAAAATGGAACTGATAATTGTATCAGAAAGATGTCTCAGTTTGAAATGATATAAAAACTTGGATCTGAAGGATGATCAGGAATTAACTGGAATGGGGTCATAAGGGGAAAAAATTCTGCGAGAGGGAATACTACTTCTGAAGTCCCAGAGGCAAAACAGAACCTGATACATTTGAGTGACTGGACTTTTGTGGGGGCTTTATTTAAAGGGAGTATAAAACTATTAAAGGGTTCTAAGAACAGTGCAATAATCTCACTCTTCCATAACTGACATAATGTTCATGAAAATTTGTTTGGCTTCTGAAAAATTAATTTTCCCAAGATGTTAAAAAGCATGTAGAAACATAATTTTTTAATACACTAGCAATAACCACATGGAAGACACAACAGAAAAGAAATCCCACTTACAATATAAAATATCTATGAATTATCTTAATTAAGAAATAGACAAAATTATATATTAAGAAACCATAAAATTTTGATAAGCACTATAAAAGAATATCAGAATAAATAAATGCCCTTGGATGTGAAGACTCAATATTATTAAAATAATTTTCTTCAAGTTAACCTGTAAGTTAAATGTAATTCTGACAGAAAATTCCAATAACTTTTTCAGGAGTACTTGATAAACTGATTGTTAAATTTATCTGGAAGATGTACGAGACTACTATTTTGAAAAGTAAAAAAGTGGGAAGGCTTGCCTTGCCATATATATAAAAAAATAATAAAAATATAGTAGCTGAAACTGTATATGAAGTCAAAACCTGCAAAAGTGTTGTAGGTTGAATTGTGTCCCCCCAAAAAGGTATGTTCAATATTCTCTATGCTGTATTTTACATGGTGCCACATGGGTACTAGACTTATTGGGGTGACCTCTTTGTAAGGTACATAAATATGTAATCCCTATGCCATATACTTGAAATTAATATTGTATGTTAATTATAACTGAAAAATAAAATTTAAGAAAGTGTTGAAAAAGTATGTTCAAGTTCTAATCCCCAGAACCTGTGAATGTGAACTTATTTGAAAATGGGGTCCTTCCAGATGTAATAATATTAAGATGAGGTCAAACTAGAGTGGGGGGGGCTCTAATGCAATGACTGGTGTCCCTAAAAAAGAAAACAGGAAATTTTTGAAGAGACACACACGGAGAATGTCATGTTGATAGAGGAGGTAGAAACTGGAGTGATGCATCTACAAGCCAAGGAATGCCAAAGACTGCTTCACCGGAACCTAGAAGAGGCAAGGAAGCCTCCTCTGGCGCCTTCAGGGAGAGCAAGGCTCTGTCAACATCTTGATTTCAAACTTCTAGTCTTCTGGACTGTGAGAGAACAAATTTGTTGTTTTACACCACCCAGTTTGTGCTAATCTGTTAGGGCAGCCCTAGGAAAACTGATACCAAGGGTGTACAGCAATTGTACATTGCTGTACAATGCCATACAATTTTATATTGCCATAAAATGCTAAAAGAAGGATCTCAAATGAGTGGGAATAATTGGGTTTTATTTATTCAATAAGGAGAGTTTAGGACAACAGGTTATTTATTTGGAAAGGAAGGTTAGATTTCTATATCACAATAGGTGCTAAAATTCCAAGTAGATCACAGATCTAAGTGCAAAAAATAAAACTGCTAGATGAAAATGTAAGAGAATATTTTTATAACCTTGGTGCAGGGAAGGATTTCTAACCAAAACATAAAAAACCCAAAAGCCAGATCCAATGATTTTTAAAAATGAAAACTTCTATACATATACAATATAATCAATCTTAAAAAATAAGGAGAAAATAGCTGCAAGATACTTTACAAACATGGAGTTAATATCTATAATAGATAGAGAGACAACAGAGACCATAAGGAGACAATAACCCCAAAGAAAGTTGGGCAAACACAAATATACAAAAGCCAATACTCAACTTCACTAATAGTCAAATGAGATGCAAGTTAAAATGAGAAAGTATTATTTATTTAGAGTGGCTCAAATTAAAAATAATTTCTCTGTTTTAAAGATTTTATTTATTTTTAGACAGAGGGAAAGGGAGGGAGAAAGAGAGGGAGAGAAACATCAGTGTGTGGTTGCCTCTTGCATGGCCAGAACCAGGAACTTGGCCTGCAATCCAGACATATGCCCTAACTGGGAATTGAACCAGTGACCCTTAGGCTCACAGTCCAGCACTCAATCCACTGAGCCACACCAGCCAGGGCAAAATAATTTCTGATAATATTCAGTGTTGAATATCCTGTTTGACCATACCCTATTCAACACTGGAATTAATTTTTGGTTTGGAGGGCAATTTGGCAGTATCTACTGAGATTTAAATGTTCATACCCTTTATTTCAGCACATCCTTTTCTAAGGCTATATCCTAATGAAACACAAGTTCACAAAAATATATACAGGAAAATTACCGTAGTCATGCGTCTTGCATGCCTCCATTTGGGAGGAATAATGATTGTTAATGCTGCTGCTGAGTTCTGTTTAGATTTACATTGGTGAAATATTATGTTATTTATGTTATTAAATATTTTACCACATTTTCTTGCTTAAATTTTTTTCCCCTATTATCCTCTTCTAAAACTTAGGTGTGCCTTATGCTCCAAAAAATATAGTACATTAAGAATAGAACATGCATAAAATAGATTATACAACCATTTAAAAGATACAGATCCACACTTTCTGTCATAAAAGACGTTTAAGACATTAAGTGAAATTAATAAGTTGCAGAATATATGTATTTTGTAAATATCAACAATAATTGTCTTATGCATAGAAGAAAAAGAAAATTAATACCTGAGCTGCTAACAATTGTTTTCTTGAAGAGGAAGACAGTTTGATTTATTGCCTCTAATAAATCAATGGCTAGTTTGATTTTTTAATTTTTTTAGATTTTACTTATTTATTTCTATTTTTATTTATTCTTTTTAAAGATTTTGTTTATTTATCTTTAGAGGGGAAGAAAAGGAGAGAGGGAGAGAAATATCAATGTATGGTTGCTTCTCATGCATCCCCTGCTGGGAACTGGCCTGCAACCCAGGCATGTGCCCTGACTGGGAATCAAACTGGTGACCCTCTGGTTTGCACACTGGAACTCAATCTACTGAGCCACACCAGCCAGGACTGAATTTTTTTTTAAATAATAAGATTTAAGGTACTAATAAAAAACTTTCAACAATATAAAAGCAACTGTTTTTCATTCTCTTAAAATCAGTCTTATCAGTTTTTTTAAATGTCACTGGCATATTCAAGAATGTATTTTGGTAAAATTCATGTGGAAGCATCAACAAATTTCTAATACCATAAAATTGTCATTTTGCTCAGCTTAAAAGTAAGAATACTTAAACTTTATGGTATCTCATTTATCTGTATCTCTTATTATACAATATTTTACTTACAGTTTGTGGATTAATCTCCTCCTCTCCCATAGGTTCATCCATAATTTGCTGTCCATTCTGTGAAAAGCACAGCAAGTAGAAAGTTACCAAAACAGATCTCACATCAGTTAAAGTTAAATGAAGGCAGACAAAACAAATTCAAATAGAAATATTTTTGCCCCTGAAGGGTTCTAATGAAGCACAGAACCACCATATAAGTATGCAGTTGCCAATTTGCAATAAGCTGTGCTTCAAAAGTTAATATGTAAATTATTTATTTTAAACTATAAAAACACTCTTCCATGGAAATGATATAATAAATGATAATTACCTTTCCAGGGGGGCCCTTCAGTTTATTTTAATAGTTAAATGCATTACAAATGGTCCTATTCAAACCTCATCAAATTGCATTTACAATATTTTGTATGGGAAAACACATTCTAAATTCCAACTCCACTGATAATTAATCAGGGCAACTGATTAATTATTTCACGGGAAAATTAAGCTAGTCTCTATATCAAAATAGATTCCAGATGGACTGAACATTTAAATGTCAAAAATAAAATTATACAAGTATTAGAAGAAAATATAGGTGAGTAATACTTATGGGGTAAGAAGGATGGAAACCATAAAGAAAAAAATTGACATTTGAATCCATAAGTTTATAACTTCTGCCAGACACACAAAAAATAATTACAAAAAGAAATAAAAACAACATATGACAAAGGATTGGTATCTTCAATACATAAAGAGCTTTGTTTTACAAACCTGTAAGAAAAAACGATGGACCTCAACAGAAATGAGCAATAAAGGAAAAAAGAGTTCAGCCTTAGTACTAATCAAGGAAATGCATTTAACTGAAAGATACCTTTGCCTTTCAAATTGGTAATGATTAACAGAAAAAGTTAACACCCAGTGCTATTATGGGGAAAAGAGGACTCAGGATACACTGCTGGAGAAAGTGTAAATCAGCTCAACCTTTCAGGAAGGCAAAATAAGTCTGTGCTTAAAAAAAAAAAAAAGAAAAGAAACATAAACATTTGAAATGGCCCATCACTTTTATTTTTTTTAAAACAGTGGACAAGTGTGCAAAGATATACATACAAGAATGCTCACCATAACTTTTTTCAAAAAAGAACTTCAAATTGGAAATCTAAATTCCTACCAATAGAGAACTTGTTAAATATATTTGGTACATCCACATTATGGAATACTATGCAGCCATTAAAACGATGATAAAGATGTAAATTTATTGACATGAAAAGACAGTTGCATGTAATAAGTGAAAAAGCAGTTTACAAAACAATATGGATTGTAATGATCCCATTTTAGGTAAATATATACATATTTCAATGTATATATTTCTATGGGAAAAACTCTGAAAGGATATACACCAAAATGTTAACAGTGGCTATCTCTGAGTGGTAGAATTTTAGACAATTTAAATTTTGTTTGTTTTTTGCTTGTTTGAATTTTCTAATGTGCCTATAATGTCTTCAATGAATATGTATTATTTGTGTAATTTAAAACAAAATGACACAAAACCAGAGTCAGGAACATATAGCGTCTTTTCTAGTTTCCTTACTTGAAAAAGAGGTGAATTCCTTTGACTACTTGTTAATTCAACAAATGTACAAGAATCTAAGCTAACCATCTTGAAACACTATCAACTGGAAAATAAAAGGTAAACCACCCATTACCCTACAGCCCACATGAGGCATCTGCTCTGAATATGAACTCTTCTCTCTACTCTCTCCATCCCTATTTATTCATCATTCATCCATTTATTTCATTTCATTCATGCTATGTTCTAGGCACCAAGCTGGAGATGAAAGGTTAATAAAATAATTCCAGAGGATCTCACAAGTCTACTAACCCATAAAAAGGGCACCTTTCACTTTCAAACACTCACCGAGTATGTTCCTAGGTTATGAAATGCCTATACAATACTATGAAGTAGAAAAATGGTGCCAAAATGAAAAATAAAAAGGGGGGGGGGAGGCAGGTATAAAATCCTTATTTTCCCAAAATAGTTTCAGAGGCCCATTTCTATGTTAAGGACTCAACTCTAAGATACATCTTTCTCCTAAAAGCTACAGCCATTTTTCAACTGAATACTGATTACCTTTACTCAGATACCCGGACAAACCTAAAACTAGTTCTTAAGAACACTGGCTTTGGAGTCAGACGATTAGATCAGATTTCTGCTCTTGCACTAATGATGAAGCCTTAGGCAAATTATTTAAACTATCTGAGCTTCAGTTTCTTCATATGGAAAGTGACAACTACAAAAGCTTATCTTCAGAGAGTTGTAAAGACTAAATGACATAAATTATATGAAACCCTAAGCACAGTGCCTGGCACTTAGTAAACAATCAATGTTAGCTACTTTAATTACATCCAAAATTCAACTTAATCAACCCTCTGTGGCCCACCAATCTGCTATTTCTCCTATCTTTATTATCTTAGTGAATGTTACCATCATTCATCTAGTAACCCAAAGTAGATTTGGTCATTTATTGTATATAGAGCTCTTTTTCTATTATAATCTACTCAGCAGCTCCCCTATTATTTTGGCTTTCAGAACCCCTGGTCTAACCTGAGCTACACTTACACTTTTTATAGGAATATAATTTGAGAACCGTCTGCTTCTTGCGACTTTCATGTGTGCAAAACAAGAATCACAACTTATAACTCATTTTAAGGCAAACTGGTACAGTAGAAACAGCACTAAACTTGGAATTGGTGGACAAGGGGTAGAGTCCTAGGTCTGCCACTTACAAGCTTTATGTTTGGGGCAATTCAGATTTTCTCCTGGCCCATTACTTTTATCTGTTCAAAATGAGGATACGTGCCTTGCCTACCCAATGGATTATCGTTAGGCTGAAAACTGAGTTAACTCCTAAGAAAGCACTTTATAAACTCTAAAGAGCTATACCAATGCAAATTACCATTATTAAGGTGAGGTAAATTCATAAGGCTAAAATAATACTCCATAAAGTCCTTTTGATCTTAAAACCAAAAAAAGTGTAAGATTGGTAAGGGATCTGGAAGGTCTTCTGTTCCAAATATACATCGTATGTTTCCGTTCTTTCTATCCCGTTCTCATCTATATTTGAACACTATCAAGACAAGAATGCACTACTTCGCCAGACAGCCTACTACACCATATCTCAGGAAGAGCTTTGGCTGCTAGATAAAATTCTTTATTATATAGTAACTTTCCTCAGTAACAAATTCCCTTTAAGAGAGTTACTAATATATGATGGCTACCTTGCCTACACTGTATCTGCAAAGTCACAGCAAGTAAATCTACAGCTATAACTACAAACCACTCCAATGGGGTCTGTTCTTGTCTAGATAGCTCAAGTTCCTTCAAACATTCCTTTTAGACAGATGAGACCATCTTCTTTCTAAGCATGCATCCAATTCTTCTTAAAGGGTGGTATACAGAATTGCATGCAATGAACATTACAACCTTGATATGACCAATGCAGAGTAAACCGCATATCACCTCTTCTGTCCTAGATAATAACCTATATTAATGCAGGTCACATATTCAGTATTTTTGGAATGTCCCCAACACGTTGCTGAGTCATACTTAGTTTTCTGGTGATTAAATCCTCATCTTCTTTATTTACACAGCAACTAAGCCATGTATTCTCTGTCTCATGAATAAGACCTTATTTTAAAATTTTTCTTCATTTTTGTCCAGTTTTGATCTATTGCTACAGACGCTATAGACTGTATTCCAAATTCGGAAATCAGTCAGTCTCTTCACAATTTTCAACTTCATGTGATCCATACATTTTATAATATATTTTCTCTTCTAAACTCCTCACCCAGCTAATTAATAGTAATATACTAACAAAGCAATCTAAGAAAAAAATTGAGTCAAACATGATATAAATGTAGTTTATGTTCTACTTTTTGCAAAAATATTTATCTCCTTCCTTTCCAAGTTTAGCAAAGATTTAAATTTTTGAACAATTTAATTTTTAAAGCAGGAAAGTATGAAGGCCAATGTTAATTCTACATACCAGTACAGGACCTTTACAAAGATCTACCAAAAAAGCACCTTTACTTCAATAAATGTTTTGTTTCATTTCATCGAAACAAGGACTCAGATGTCACCTGTTAGAAATGAGCACATTACTTCTGCAGCTAAGAAGTTTCCCTTTGGAAAAATGACCCTTGGCATCATTAGAGATTAGGTTACATGGACCATCAGTTAGACTCATTGCAATTTCTATAGTTCTAAAAGTTCAAGAAATAGCACCTATTAAACAGGAAAATGTATTTCTCTACTTCTATGAAAGAGAGAAAACAGGTGGCCTGAATCTGGCTAGTACCAGGTTTAAATCCCAGTACTGTCAATGCTGCAGTTACCCACCTTTGGGTAAGTTACTTATATTTTGAGCCTCAGTTTCTTCATTTGTAAGATGCATAGAATAGCTACCTCACAGGCATGTTGTAATTAAAAGGTTCCACCAAGGGACAGTAGATGCTCACAGTAAATGCTACTTCCTGTCCCCTCTTTTGCCTCATTTCACTGTGTAACATTTACATTTCTATATTTAACTTCCAAATGCAATGCAGTGAACAAGTACTGGAAAGTGTGGAGATACCTGTTTCACCACTTAGTACAGCCAATTTCCTGCCAAAGAAATCATTCATATGTGTGGTGTATTTTTATACAATGTGGCTAAAGAATGAGAACAGACAAAAAAGAATAGTTTAAAAGAGAGGCAAATATATTTATCCTCTCTCATCCCACTATAATGCCTTCTAGCCAAAAAACTGCAGAGCTTAGCAGAGTGTACCTATGCAAATATTATGTGAAATACTGGGAAAGGTTAGAAAATTCTAATCACACTTTGTTAGTCTGAAATGTGTAAAAGTCAGAAATTAGATAAATGTACAATATGGGTTTCATCAGAACAAATCAGATAAAGGAGACTACTGGCTTGGGTTTCAGCAGGAATTATTTTCAAAATAAATTCTAATGTTGTGGTATAAAATTATCACTTAAGATCATCATCCTGGTTTAAATCAAAAGGGATGAACAATTCAAATCA